GACAATCTGTCTTCTGCATAGGATGATTATGACATGAGTTACACTTACAATTTCCAGTGTGCAACTTGAGTGTTAAATAAAGAATTGGTCTTCCATAGATTAATAAATTGGCTTGCTTATATTCTGATATGTAAAGATATTTACATATTTACTAAAATATGTTTCTTCAGCAAAATCTTAGCCTCAGCAGTTCTTTCCAAACAGTGAAACTCAGAATTTCATAAACAAAAGCATAATTATTGTATTGACCAACAGATGCTTTATGTTAAATGTTACTCTCCTTATTGCCAGCATATTTATCTTATCAATTGTACCTTAGGCAGACAGTTCATTAGCTGTGTTACTACTACTTGTCACTTTAAAAGTTATTTACCTGTGTTAATAAGTCCATTGACATCTATTTCACTCAGTCTCTATCCTCAAAATCATATACAATGGATATATAAACCTGTGACCTAAATATTTTAATCCACATATCTGAAGAAATAGATTGTAACCCATAAAAGCTCACCATAAACAATCTGTTAGTCCTCAGTTTTCCCAACTCCTTCTCTTGTCACACTTTAGAATGCAAGTTGACAACAACAACATCCTTGGAAACGAAGAGCTGGGATCCTATGTATCATTGATACATAGGCAGAACAGTGGGAAATGGAACACTGAACCTCTGACTCAGCAGCTAGATACCTAAACCACGGAGCTATCCCAGCAGTTCCTCACACTTGAAATGTGGAACAACAACAACAACCAACAACAACAACAATAACTTTGTTGTTGTTTTTGCTGCTGCTGCACTGATCATTATGCAAAAAATATAATTTGCCAGCTTCCAAAAATCCATGGGAAGATCACATGGAGAAGGTTTCAGAAAATGAGGAAGTCAAGATCTTGTGGGATTTCCGGATCCAAACAGACAGACACCTTGAACATAACACACCAGACATGGTAGTAATAGAATGAAGAAATGTCTGGATCATTGACATTGCAATTCCAGAGGATGCCAGAATTGAAAATAAAGAATTGGAAAAACAGAGATCTGGTACAAGTACAGAGACCTGAGAATTGAACCATGTCACTTGTGGATGAAATACACTTCAGGGTCCCCATAGTCATTGGGGCTTTGGGAATAATATCAAGGAATTTCACACAGTATTATAAGCAGTTGCAGATCTCAGAAATCACACCATCAGAGCTACAAAATACCCGGCAATATTAGGAACATCATACACACTGCACCAATACTTTGGTTAAAATTTGTATCTGTTATACAATGATTTTATATTTTTGATTGTGCCTGCCGTGTTTGAATAGTAACTATAATACCTCACAGCATAGCTCTGAATTAAAGCTACGACTACTCTGGGCACTGAGGACAGATGCTGATTAATTTTGCATTCTTTGCTCTTATGTCTCTTTGGCTGTCTTGCTTGTGTGCCTTAACTCTTCATTTAAGGGCGCTTTGTGTAATGAGATTTACACCTATGTAGCGAGTACACGTTCCTTCCTGTATTCACTTTAGCAGCATTTTTTGGAGGGTGGGAAGGGTTGGGGAGCTGGCCCAGATCCATGGATCACACAAGGAAAAGGAGGGGAAGCATTTAGTATCTTTGGCAGAGAAGCTCAGCTGCTGGTCCCCACCTTGGAACAAGGGTGGAGTAGATATGTGCCTTCTCTTTGGCAACACCCACAACCGACCTCCCCTCTTCCTTCCCTGCCACTTAGAGCAAGGTTAAGTATGCTGTAACAGCATTGAATAATGCCTCTGCTGCTCAGGGAATGTCAGTACTGCTTTCCTGGACTCCGCCTGTTGTATCTAGAGCAGGGCGGGTTCTCATTGCCTTCCAGCATTCACCCCAGGAAACATGATATCACTCTTGAACAAGAGCGGGAAAGCTGACAGATCTATTGAGATGGGTGTGGCTACAATACACACCTACAGCTGTTAAATCGTGTGGGGTAGCAGATTTTTAGGTTCAAATATACATACTGGACCTCTCTCTCACACACACACTCACTTCTCTGCCCCTACTCCCCATCACTTGCGGCTGTAAATGCAGCTTCATGGTGCCAAGGACTTAGGATAAAAATACATGTTATAGAGCACAGTGAAGAGAACAATCCTTAATTAACAAAAGCATTTGGGTGTCACAGCAGAAGCTTCAATTTGCTTGCTTTCTCCGGTAATTGGTCTTCAACATTTAAGCATAGGATTCCTCTGAAGTATGATTTTACAAACCCATAACAATGTCTGAATCACTTCTCCAACATTAATACCTTTCGGCTCTAATAACAGGCTATGCATAATGTCTCCTTCTTTCACTGAGACAACTACAGAAGAAGGGTTGGTAAGACAACGTGAAACTTCAAGCATGGGGTATGAGCAGGTCAGTGATGGAGGAACAAGGATGGATTGGCACAGCAATAAGTACAGCACTGGTAAGTCCAGTGTAGAAAAATACAGTAATGGGTATGCTTTCATTCTCCTCTTCCTTCAAAGTGTGCCCACCCCAATTTTTATCATAGCATTACGCCTAGAAAGTAGGTTAGATTGGGGCAATAGTTATACAATGAGCTTCATAGTTTCCGATCAACATTTGAACTCAGTGGTTTCTGGTGGAAGTCTAGCAGTCCGTTCACATACAGCATTAGCTCTCAGTGATGCTGATGCACATTGTGACTGATGGCGAAGAAGGCACAGTAACCACTAGAGGTGGAACATGGGGCAGAAGTAGACACTCATGTACACTTACACACACACACACACACACAGAGAGAGAGAGAGAGAGAGAGAGAGAGAGAGAGAAGGGCAGGCAGCGTAGCATTCAGAAAGGCCTTCTGCCTCCTTTGCAGGCTGAAGCAGGATGACTGAGGGGGAGTGCGAGAAGAGTCAGTACTCCACTCTCCCTAATGGGCAAACTACCGTTGGATAACTGCATGACTTTACTCCTGAATGAGCCTCAATTTGTATATACAATGAAAAATTCCATACAGATTTGGCATTATGTGAGGGCTAACCACTTTAAATGATCATAAATTATGATTTTGACATAAAAAAATAGCAGAAAGAACTCTTTGACTGTGCTTTCTCCTTCTTATCTATACACATGACAGTAATAAGTTGTTAGGCTGGAAAAATCGGCATCTCTCTAGAGCAGTGGCTCCCAGCCTTTGGTCCCCAGATGTTCTTGGACTGTAACTCCCAGAAGCCTTCACCACTAGCTGTGCTGGCCAGGATTTCTGGGAGTTGTAGTCCGAGAACATTGGGGGACCACTGCTCTAGATCCATGTTCTCTAGTCCCCCTTGTCTGAGATATTGTTCATTTCATACTTACTCATCCACAATCCATGAAGTCTAGGTATGATCAAGCCTCTTTAATGGGTTTTAATTAAGATAATTCTATGCTGAATTGTACAGATAGGTATTCAAGTATATTGCAATAGTTAAGACCATAGTTGTGAACAAATGCTACAGTTGTCAGAAATAGACAGACATATTGATTGTCATAAAAAGGCATTTGAATAAAAAAAGTACCCTACTATCTGTATTTTTTGTGATGTTATTTCTTTGATACGCACATAAATTAACCAAAGAATAATGTTCTATTCTGGTCATTAGATTCTACTCCTGAGAAGCACAGAGAGTTTATAAAGTGAGCTCTAGCCTCATGTGTAGATTGTTATAATTTATAGTAGGTTTTATACTCCATTTCTAAGATTTTCTGAACCATCAGTTATTTCAGATGCATACCATAAATACGAATCACCATTCTAATGTCAGTTGTGAAGATAAGATGATGCTGGTTTTCCATGTCCCCAACTCTCAAATGTACCCTGACAAACACCATGTTGAATAGTTCCATCACTGATACTGAACAGGAAAGTAAGTGAGACTGGCTGAGATTGATCAAACCCATTCTAGCTACAGTGGGATTTGAACTCAGATCCCCACATCAAGATCTCAGCTATGTTTTGTTATGCTCATTTTATTCTCCTTCCAGAGATTTTTGTAATGCTGCAGGCTTGGAAAGTACAAGCAAGCTGCTGACAAATAATAGCAAGTAAGAAAATACATAGGGTTGGAGAAGAGAGATGAATTAAAGGGGGGGGGGAGAGAAAAAGAAAAAGAAAGGAGTTATGTTGTCTCATTTTGAATATCACTAGTATCTTTCACTAAACAGCAAGACTCAACAACTTTTTAAAAGTGTATATCAGGGTTGGAGAAGAGAGATGAATTAAAGGAGGGGGGGAGAAAAAGAAAAAGAAAGGAGTTATATTGTCTCATTTTGAATATCACCAGTATCTTTCACTAAACAGAAAGACTCAACAACTTTTTAAAAGTGTATATTTAATTTGATGGTGCCAATTATAATGCAACATTATACTGTAACTGGCACCATCAAATTAAATACGCACTTTTAAATTGCCCCTAAATGTAATAGCAAAAAAAGCTGATCAGTGTCAAATGAGCACTCAGTTTTAATGTGTATTGTATGAGAACTGGTTTCCACTGGCCAGTGGCTGGATTCTCTAAATGAACGTCTATTAAGAATACATCACATCTGGGTTTTTTTAAAAAAGAAAACAAAAATAAAATTTAGGTGCCTGGGAACAAAACAGGCAAGTTTTTTTTTACATAGATCTGTCAAACAGTTGACTTAGTACTTTAGAATAATTTAGAATAAGTCACTTATTTTTGAAATAATCTCTGTACAGATCCAAAAACATACCCAGGAGTCAAATATGAATCTCCAGAGCTAACTCCAGACACTCAAACAAATTCTCTAAACAGTGTAACAGCCTATTGCATGAGGATGTATTTTAAGGTCATGTAGTATCTTGCCAAGGCAACTTCTTTGGAGTAAAGTGAATAGAGAAACACAAAATCAGACCCTCAAAAGGATTTTGAAACCTTCACTTGTGCATCACAGAAATTAGCCGGTGTGTCCTGTGATTCCCCCCCCCCCTTGAACTCGGAATAAAGCGGGGAAAAAACACCTTACCTGAAAGCAGAAGACTGAATCCCAAAAGAACTGGAAGTGCTGGAAAAGTCCACACTTTGCCCAGTATATCCATTCAGTTTGCACTGCCGTTCGTGGAATAACAGACGTCCTTTCAGTAGGAGAACTCTTGGTTCTTGTTCTGTACTTGCATTGTACAGTAATTCTTGCTCACCAGGCAGGACAAGTTGATCGTAAGACCGCAGTGAGCAAGAGAGCAAGCTTTTGTGTTTCTGTCTGAGCACAGGGAGTTTTAAGTTCCTTTTTCCTGTTTCCTCTGTAGATTAGGATAGGAAAGGTAGGCTCTTAAAGGCGTTGGGTATCAGCAGGATTTGTCTGAGGGTCTATGAGCTCTTTCTTTCTAACACATCTAAACAAATCTTTGCTGTGGTTGTGGGGAGGGGGAAGAGGGTTGCTCTCTGAGAATCTCCCCCCCCCTCCACAGGTCATGGCCAGCATTGTCAGAAACAATAGGGATATCCTCCAGTAGGAAGAATTATGACAAAAACAAGCCCCACCACCTAAGCCTGGTATGTGAAAATCAGCCACTCCACCTCCTCTTCCAATTCCCTATCTGTTAGTTACTTCCAGAGATCCTTTTTGAACTATGAGACCTCTGTGAAAGGCTTTTAGGGTGGAGAAAATCCTGCTGTTTTCTTGATTTATCTGTTCATGATGGCTAGTCCCTTGATATCATTCATTACAAATTGCATTTATATTCTACTTTCCCACCAAAAATCACAGTCAAGACACAAAACTGGCCTCCTAGTCTTGTTCTCACAACAACCCTGTGAAGTGAGGGTGGAGATGGGGCGAGCAAAAGCCCATGTGATCCTTGTACACAATCCAAAGGCAAGGGTGGTGATATTAGACACTAAAAAAATCACCAAAAGACATAAGCTAGCTTTCGACTTCTCATGGATCTTCATCAGGTTGGGTGCCACAGATCTGTGGACAGTGCCCAAAAGTTCCAGAAATCATGGTCACATTTGTGTGCTGGGCTTTAAGAAGAGGAGCTTATCCTGTACCTCTGGCCATGATTTGTGATGAAGCCCTATAAGTGGTTGGAAGCTAGCTTATGATTGTGAATTTTTTTTTTTTAGCAGTCTAGGGAAAGTAACATCCACTTTTGCCTATGGAGTAAGTTAAGCTAGGAGACAATGATGGACTGAGGTTACCCAATGAGCCTTCTACCCAAGTAGGAATATGAAGACCAGTCTTCTGGTCCTGCTCCAGTACTCTGAAGCTGAATGATCAATATCCTCCAGATGTTGTTAGACTGTCTCACTCAGCATCCTTCACCATTGTCTCTGATGGCTAAGGTTGTTGAGAGCTGCAATCCAACGACATCTTAAGGGATGTACTTTGCTCTTCCCTGCCTTAAATGCTATAGCATGTAGGCTCTGACCTAGCAGTAAGGGACCCAGAGTTGTATCCACAAGATACAGAGTTGTATCCACAAGATACTGAGATGGCATGAGACCATTTATAATTTAGGGACAGAGTGGAGGAACAAGGCTGCAATCCTACATGGGAGTAAGTGCCACTGGGTTCAACAACGGGAAAGTTATTTCTGATATGCATATGATCTCACTGTGAATGTAGTTCACATAAGATATGCTCAGAAGGCAGGGTAGTAGTAGCATTTTGCTTGATTGCTGTTTATGTGAGACTGTGACATGCCATTGGTATGCACATACTGAACTGCTTCGTTTGCTTTCTTCCTATGGAAATGCCATCTCAAGGCAGTTTGTGGCACTTCAAACAAAATAAGAAAATGATTGAATATTTCACAAGAACATATGAATACTGAGAAAACAGAATCTGTAGAGGAAATAAGCAAAAGGCTCTCAGCATTAAAATAGAGACATAGTGCAGTTTTAAAAGCCTGTTAACTGACAATGGAGGACCTGAAGGACCTCTCACAGGAGATTGTTTCCTGTGTTGGGATGCCACAATTTCTCCTGTCTCAGCATGTCCTCAAAGAGGAAATGCACAGAAGCAGAGTTTGCAGCAAGGGACCTTCATCTAAGGCAGGGGTCTCAAACATGCGGCCCGGGGGCCATTTGTGGCCCCCCAGATGATAGTTTGTGGCCCTCCCCTTGCCTACCCCCCCCAAAGCGCCCACACATCCTCTGCTGTCAAGAGTAAAAAAAAAAAGCCTTGCCTCGCTCGCTGGCTCTCTCCCAAGACAGCACCTCTTGCCCCCTCCATCCAGAACTGCAGCCTGCCAGCCAGCCCACCTGTCTGCTGGCTAAGGAAACTCCTGGGTGGCTTCCTCAGGCTCTTGCTTCACTTGACGGAAAATCTGATGTGGCCCAGCCTCACCCAGACTCTGCCTCTAGCGGCCCCCAGGAAAATTGAGTTTAAAACCCCCGAAGGCATTCAAGAGAAAATTGGACAGCCGTCTGTCAGATCTGCTTTGATTTGGATTCCTGCATGGAGCAGGAGGTTAGACTTGATGGCCTTACAGGCCCCTTCCAACTCCATTATTTTCTGTGATTCTATAAAAAGCTGGGTGGGTGGCTCAGTGATTTGAGTATCTGTCTGGGCAACCAAAGTTGGACGTTCAGTTCCCCACTGGGCTTCCCAGAGGAGCCAGCCTGTGTGGACTCAGGGAAGCTGCACAGTCCCAGGACTTGCCCAGAAGAAAAGTAGACCACTTTTGAGTATTCTCTACCCAGAAAAGTCTGAAAAAGGTCACCAGGCAGAATTAACTGGACAGCACACAATTATTACTATAGGACTAATGACTAGAGATGGGCACGAAGTTAAAAACAAACTAGGAAATTCATTAAAAATTGCTAATTCATTGATTTGGATTCGTTCTGATTAGTCCAAACTAGAGAACCTGAACTTTCCTGAATCAATAGCTTTTTGGGCAATTTCTGAAGCTCCTAGTTCATTACCCCCACCCCAGCCTGCCCAGTGCTGCCACCTCTTCTTCCTCTGCTGCTGCCACCATATTGAGAACCCTAACCCAGGCTGGTGACTTTTGCGCATATGCCCGTCTCTCAGTTTCTAGTATTCTGTGTGCAGCTTCTGTTTGCAGGATGTTATCTGCTTCTAGTATTCAAGGTATTTACAATTTTCATCACTTGATAGTGATTCTATAATATTGCCAGTTTTTAACTCTATTCCATCTAGTTTTTGTCTCATATCATGTACTATAAACACAACTGCACATCTGTCAATTCCAAACTGTGTTTAGCAGTGATTCTATCTCCGTGGAACTTATTGCATATAGTTTTAGGTCATCCATGTATAACAGATGATTGATTTTTCCTGCTTTTTCTGAAATTTGTTGTTGTTGTTGTTGTTGTTGTTGTTGTTGTTGTTGTTGTTGTTGTTGTTGTTATTGTTATTGTTATTGTTATTGTTATTGTTTATTATTCCTTTGTACATGTTTATGAAGATTATTATTGGACCCCATTAGAGCTGTGAGTCTGTTCTGCATGTTGTGCATAAGTTTTCATATATCTTTACCTCTCAACTTGAGTCTCCCTCCCCCTTCTGATTCAGTTTAATGCTCTCCTGATATTCTTCAGGCTGTGGCAAAACACATTCTTCCCAGTCCTTGTGAGGTGCAACCCATCCCTTGCCATAAGTCCATCTTCCAGAAACCACAGCTTGTGGTCCCAAAATCCAAATCCCTCACCTTGGCATCACCTTCATTCGCCTGGAGTATTTCCCTTTCCCTTTCTGTTCTTCTACAGAGTATTGGTAGGATGGATGAGAAGACTATCTGGGCCCCAAATCGTTCAGTTTCCTTGCCAGTGCTTCGAAGTCCAATGTGATTCCTTTGTAGCTCCTTTTGGCTGTGTCGTTTGTTCCCATGTGGATGAGAAGTTTGTGTTTATGGGCTTTATGTGATGGCAATCCTTCTGTCAAATCCCTAATCCACCCTCCAGGCAGAGAGCACACCTGGCAGGTTCATCATCTTCTCAGCAACAAACAGGTGAACTGGGGGTGTGTGACAACATCTTTCACAGGTTGTTCACATACTATAAACACTACAAGAAAGGCCAAATGGCAAGGTGTGTGAATGCATGGCCTGGGGTGTGATAGCCAATCCACAGCTGCCTCAGCTGTAACTTGAAAACAACAACTCTAATACTGCCTGCATCTTTCCTGATGTACATCTAAGGTAGACTTACCTGGGGAAAATCCACCTTGCCATTAACTTTTGGACTTCCAAGTTCTTCACACAAGCCTGATGAAGTGGTCTTGATCCACGAAAGTTCGCATATTGTATGATGATCTTTTTTCGTGGTCTATAAAGATTTTGCCTACTCTATCATTTATATTTTGTATTGACCACATGGCTCCCTTTTATTTCAACGGCACTACAAGATAGATTTTTTTAAAAATGCAGCATTTCTTCACAGACAGATCAGATGAAGTTACGGAAAAGAGTTCTGTCAGTGGCTGTGCTGTGACATTGCCTACGTGACAGGCTTCTTGATGTTACTAGCTTGCCACAGTTAGAAACCCAGTGCTGGGCTAGGTGGGATGTTGGTATGTTCTAGGTATTTCAGCTCTTTTTTCAAGGCCTATTGTGAGGCAAAAATGATGATGCTAAGGCAGTCATACTTTGGGCACAGCATACAAAGGTGGTATTCTCTGGCTTCTGCAAAGGTAAGACTTGCCTCACACACCTTTTAGAATTCTTTGAAAAGGTCAGCAGGCAAGTGGATGAGGGAGAACCAGTGGATATTGTCTATCTGGATTTTCCGAATGCATTTGACACCATCCCTCAACAGAGGCTGCTCAGAAAACTCCACAGTCAGGGGATAAGAGGGCAGGTCCTCTTATGGACTGAGAATTGATTGAGAACCAGGAAACAGAGCGTACATGTCAATGGACAATTTTCACAATGGAGAGAGGTGAAGAGCTGTGTGCCCCAGGGGTCTTTCCTGGGACTGGTGCTTTTCAACCTGTTCATAAATGACCTAGAGCCAGGGATAAGCAGTGAGGTGGCCACGTTTGCAGATGACATGAAACTTTTCCGGGTGGTGAAGACCAGAAGGGATTGTAAAGAGCTCTAGAAGGATCTCTCCAAACTGGGAGAATGGGTGACAAAATGGCAAAGGTGTTTCAATATGAAAAATGTAAAGTAATGCATATCGGGGCAAAAAAAAAATCAAAACTTTCGTTATCAGCTAATTGGTTCTGAGCTGTCCGTGACAGATCGGGATAGAGATCTTGGTGTGCTAGTGAACGGCTGAATGAAAGCGTCAGCCCAGTGTGTGGCAGTAGTGAAGAAGGCCAGTTCCATGCTATGTATCATTAAAAGGGGGACTGAAAATAAAACAGTCAACATTATAATGGCATTGTA